GTGAGGGAATGAGGCACATGGGTGTGTGGAGAAAGACTGGCCCAGGCAGAGAATGGCAGGTGCAAAGGCCCTGCACTTGGGCACCCACCTACAATATTTGAGGAATAGGTAGCTCATGTAGCTGAGTGCAAGGAGGAGCACGTGATAGAGTCAGAGAAGGGACGAGGAGAGAGTAGGTTGTATAGGGCCTTGTAGGTCATGGTCAAATCGATTCATTCATTATGATTTTGTATTTTCCCAAAAGCATTTAGAAAATCGACACTTCTTAAAATTTTTGCCCTGTCGCCTCACACTTATTCAAGTCTTGCTTTTGTAGTGCTCTGAAGTATGTGATTTGCAATAGTGGCAAATGGCCTGACTTCAAATTCCAGCTCTGCCACTTTCTAGCCATATGACCTTGGGAATAGGAGTTTTCCCTCTGTGCCTGCATTTCTGCATCTGTGCAGTAGAGATACTTCTCACATCTTCTCTCTCTGAGGAGGATCACATGGGTTGGATGAGGAAGGAAGGTACTGCCTATAGAAGCAGGCAGCCAACTCAGCAAGGATCACCTGCTAGGTTTGTCCTTGGTGGTGGTTTTATTTGTATTCTGTGTGCCGTTCGAGGAGCTGGTGATAAAGGCACAAAAGGTGTCAGAGAAGTCCTTGCTGTCATGGAGTTGCAGGACAGTAGTCCCACCTGAAAATGAAATCATTCCAGATATTGGGATAAGGGAAAAATCAAGCCAGAGTAGTGGAGCTGTGGGGGAAGGGCTGTTCCCAGGCTACCCCTGAGGAAGGGATTTTTGAGTGGAGTCCAATGGTGGCTTGAAGGAGTAGCCATTTGAAGGATCTGGGGCCTTTCGGTCTGAGGGCGTAGGAAGAAGCAAGGCCCTAGGGTGTGCAACTGGCATTTTCAAGGGACAGAAGAGCAGTGCAAGGACCCCGGATCAGATCAGCACACAGCGGGATGGGAAAGGGAGCAAAAGCCCACAGAGGTCCTTGGTTCTCAAACTGGGCTTCCCAACAGTGTCACCCAGAAGGTTTGAAAAATGTACAAATGTCTGGGTCCTGGCCCTAGACACTCAAGATTTTTGAAAGCTCCCAAGATGATTAACAGAAGACTTTGAGAAACCACCAAAGTGGCCTATGTGTTTTCTGCTTGTCTTGTGCTAGGGTATGACTGGATGCTTTAGAAAAATTGCTATGGCTGCTGCGTGGAGCGTGGAGGTGTCACTGACAGTGGAAGTGACTACTGAGGATGTGGTCTGGGCTGGATTGTGAGAATGGTTTGAAAGTAGATGGCCGTAGTGAGGGGATGGTGAGAAGTGATGGTCAGGTTTGGTGTGTGGAGGGCTGAGGGGGAAAGTGAGTGGGAAGCAAAGGGTTTGTTGAAAGGTGGGTAGACAGTCTACTTAAAATCCGTTAAGTTGGAGAAAATGATTCACCATCCTGGAGCTACGTGGTATGGCCAGTTGCCTGGCGTCATCTTGGTACTGAGAATATGAGGTCCCTGGTGCGTCATTCACAGGAAGGCAATGAGATACTTACTGTGTGACTCTCACCTGTGATCTCCATCATAATGCAATAAAAAGGGTGCCATTCCACTGTCCAGAATGGGATAAGGACATTGTATATTTTGCATTTGATTATGGGCCATTTAATGGAATATACTTATTTTCAGTTCTTTAGAATTATCACATGACCCATCATTTCTCCATTATATTTTTGTTTAAAAAAAAAATCACCACTGCTCAGTGTAAATGTAATGCTTTCTTTTTGCTTGTGTAACAAGCACATTTTATTCATGTACCGAGTGTTCAGATGTGAATAGCAGTTCTAGAACCCCCTGGTTATTAAAAATCTGACCCTTTAGCATGTGAAAGGATGGTTATGTGGAGAACAGCACTGGAGGTTTAGTAAAAGTGAAACATGTAGTATTGTGATCCTATAAATACGGAAATTCAGAAAAATCGTCCCACTACCCAATCACTGAAACATTGACAGGATAATTTGCCCCTTTTTAGAGCTTAAGTGCCATTCACTAGCGACTTCCGGAAGTGAGGCCTTCTCCACTTAAGCATGGAAATGATTCCATTTTATTTGGTAACCACGAGCCAATGGAATCTGTATTTGGTTCAGGATCTGGCCTTTTTGGAATGTTTACAGGTCTGGGGAGTTTCACATTTTGTAATTTTTGAGATCTGATTTCATCTCTTATTTATGGGGGAAGCCAAATGCTCCAGCAATATGCCTGAAAGTCTTTCTTCTCGTCCTCCTTCAAGTCTTTCAGAATAAATTCCTAGGATTTATGACTGCTTTATTTCTACTCTTAAATAGTTCCGCACTTGAATATCATGCATGCTTGTGTTCTCGTCCAAATTATGATTTCTATTGAAGTTCCAGGATTCCATGTAATAAACTCTCCCCATGCAGATATTTTGATTTACTTGTATAAATATTTTTAAAACTGAATGGACTATCTTGGCAAATATTTAATAATTGTCTAGAATCTATCTGCTGTAGAACACTCTCCACTAACAACCATTTTTGTTTCTGGAATGGGTGACTTTTCCCCATGCATTTTTTTAAAGTCTCAGCAATAAAATCCAAACAAGGAGATTATGATTTTAATATACTTTATTTAAAAAGTACACAGTTTTAAATTGGTTTCAATGGGTTTCAAGCAGAAGGGACAGTGCCTGCCTACCACTTGCAGTCCCATTTCTGATGAAGGATGATTATTGTGGGGCAAACTCACATTGGCATGACTGGTAAAGTAAAAAGAATTTTTTTTTGTCAACGTATCTTTGAGTTTATATCACGCACAGTTTAAAATCATGATATGCTGATGGTTGGACTATATTATGTCTCCTATGTCGCACCATATTTGGGTTCACAGTTTATCCATGATTTTAGCATGCCAAGAGAACATCTCAGTGTCACCTCAAGAAGTGTATCGAAAGCAGAGGGAGCAGGAGGGCTGTCTGGGCCTGGAGACTCGGTGCACCCCCACACTCCCTTGCATTCTCCTATGGGGAAAAGAGGGGGTTGGTTAGACCAAGAAATGCATTCTGGGACCTGGATTCACTTGAAATTTCATCAAGTAAGAAGAATCTGATCCTCACTGAGAATACGTTCATTACTCTTCAAGAATGTAAGTAAATGATCACTATTGAAGGGGTCTGATTATTTCAGACAATCAGCCATAGGGGTTGTGGGTGTCTTTTCTTCAGAGGTGGGGAAGGAGAGACCCTATTTTACCAAACTAATTTTATTTACTTTTTTCTAGAAATCTATTAACTGATGTGAATCGCACCATGATTCTAGTTCTTTCCTTATTGATGGGCATTCATTTTGTGTTCTTTTCTGCTGCAAAGAATGCTCAATGAAAGTCCTTATCAGTCAGTGGTCTTTGCCCCGGATGGCTTGTCATTTCCTATTAGTCCTTGGTTTATTTTTATTCATGGTTGCTTAAGTTATCAATTTAAAAGAGCTCTTTTAAATTGATGTTTTTTCAAGTTCTATAAATTAGCTATTGACTAAGTTCTCTCATAGATGAGTTACAAGTTTTGTGTAGTTAAATGGATCTGTTTTCTTCCATACCATTCAGGTCTTAGAGGCCTCTCTCATCCCTAGAGAGACTATTATTTTACCATGTAAGACTAATCTACATTCTCTTTGAATTGAACCTTTGTAGTAAATTTTTTATTCTGTTCCATTGACCTCATTTAACTATTCTAGAAACAAAACTACCGATTTTTGTATGTTTATCTTATATCCAATTACCCAAGCAAATCATCTTATTAACTGCAGTAGTTTTTACTCTAATGACTTGATTGTCTAAGTATGTAGTTCCTGGTTTTAAGTGAAGAAGTTTCATGATCTTGGACTATTGTCTGTATTTGCATTTTTTATATATGTCTTTTGAGGTTGTGCCTATTTAGCATACTGCTGCTAAATTATCCTTTGAATACAGAAGCAAGCATTCTTAATACAATAAGAACTTGGTTAAATTCCAAGTTATTTGCTATTTAAAGGTGAAGTGAATGTGGAATTGGCTACAGTGACATTTTGAAGAGTAGATATACTTCCTATATAGTAATTTTCCTCGGGGGGGGGGGGGGAGTAGGTGTCCATTTTCTAGGTTAAACTTTTTTTTTTTTTGCCTACAGCATTGCAGGAGATACTCTTACTTGTATCTGTGATAAATTTACCTTTTCAGGATTAAGGTTATTTTTCCAGTCCCTTGGGTATAAGTAGAGTGACTTCAGGTGGCTGGAGCATTAAAAGGCTAACACTATACAGGGGACATCAATTTAAAATAAATACATGTGTAATAGATCAGATAGTAAAAAGTTTTTAAAAATCTGAACGAACATCCAGGGCCATTAGCCTTTTTTAGTTTTCTGAAAGGGTTTTCTTTTTCTCACAAGTAAAATGTTCAGCTGTATAGTTCTTTGCCCTCAGTCACAATAAGAATCTCAAAACGGTCAAAGGAAAACAGGAACAATTCTCAGACTTACCTCAGGGTGGAAGCCATGGCAAGATTCCGGACGCCTTCTAATCTTCTGAGCCTTTAGCCGTTCACACTTCAGGGATTCATTATGTTGACTGTAGTTAAGGCAGGTTTCCAAGACTGACCTCTCCTACTGAATTTCAGAGGTCCAAACTTGGCATTAGACACCGTTAACCACTTCCCTCTCTCCAACAGTTGGAAGTAACTAACCTTCCTGATACTTCTCCCCCACGTGTCCTTACTACATTTAGATGGGATATATCAACAAAAGCTCATGGGAGACAAGGCAAGTGTGTTCAGAGGAGAAATGATTAATTCACCCATTGGATTATAATTCTCAAACTGGGTGGTAGGGTGGAAGGAAGTAGGTCACTGACTCTTGCCTTTAGAAGTTATAGTTTGGTGAGGAGAGCCCTTCTGCTGCCCCTTGGGCCCAGTTGGCTGCCTGAACCTCTGAAACCATGAGCCAAAATAACTTGTCTTCCTCTGCATTGTTCTTGCAGATCTTTTGGTCACAGCAATGAAAAACCCGGCTCAACTACGGTTGATCCCTCTTACCCGTTTCAGCAGTAGTGGCTGGACCCATACATAAAAGGATATACCTGATTTCAATGGGCGCCATGGTAATGGGGGCCACAGACTCACACAGGCAGCTGCTGTCTACCACCACCATGAACAGATTGCTGCTTGGGATTTGCTGGATGACAAAGGATCTGTTGAGACAAGACAATGAAAGGTAATGTACCATCCCTCAGTTGAGGAACTAAGAGAAAACCTTTTCTTCCAGGGGCCCAACTAATACTACTTTATAAAACAAGATTCAGAAACTGCTTTATGAGTCAAGATGCCACATTCTCTGAGGCTTTTGCCTTACTAATACAATAACAACTTCATGCAGGTAATCCCACTCTCTCCAAAGCGAGTTGTATGTTATATGTACACAATACAGTTCGTTAGGTCACCTCAGTTTGTAAGGTTTAGAAGGTTAGGATTTCCTGCTTCTCCCAGGTTGCATTTGATGTCCCCTTGAGATACAATTTTCTTCCTCAAAGAAACTAAAACTAGCCTACAGAGAGCAAAAGATGTAAGGGACTTCCTTGACCTGTCCCTGAGTCACTTTGCAAATTGATGTGCCCAGAACAGAGGAAAGATGGTTTGAATGAAATCTATGCTAGGCATTAGGGAAGTTCCATCCACTTCAGATCCCAAGTTCTTGATAGAACCAAGATTGTACAGCAGCTCTGGTTGTACTGACAGATTTAGAAGGTCAAAGTAAACTTGATGCTGTTACCATCTCGTAACTTGAAGGTCTTAAAGAAGCCATATTAAAGATCCTGCAGACTGCTTGACCCAAGCTGACTAGCACATCACAATTGTGGAATGTTATAGGTTGAGAACCAGAATCATCTGGAGGCCCCTTACCTTTTGTATTTGACCTAATGAGATTCGTAGGGAAACTACTCAGAGTGTGACACTAAGCTTAGCAGAGCAAGTTTTCTCCAACCCTAAAGTTAAGAATGTTAATATCTGAAACCTGTCTATAGTAAAATATCTTTGCTTTACTGTAGCCCACCTACTTGATATATGTCTATCAAAGTTTTTGTAACCTCTTCCAGGATAGAAGAAGTCATTCAGGTTAATTTGAATCCTTGTTTCAAGGACATAGTGATTGATATTTGACTCAGAAAATTATTTTCTAATTTCTTTTAAAGCATAGTCATTGTTTTATGTAGACAGTTTTGGCACACAATGTGGGGCCCCAGAGATGATCCACTTTCACGGAAGGAGCTGCTCTGCTCAGTGCCAGGTATAGCACTGCCCTCCTCTCCCACCATGATGCTTCCTTGACTGGATGTTGGCGAGTTTTTCATGAAATGTTTTTCTTTTGGTCAACAGCCCTTTGAGCTGGTTGCTGTATTTTAATAGCCTCTCAGTGTTGCAGAACACTTATTAGAACTTGGGTTTGCTGGTACTCCTGCCTTTTTCCTTGACCAGTGCAACCTTGCCCAATATAGGAATTCTACAAGCACTAAGTCATAAAGATGCCACAGAAGAGAGATACTTATTCCCCCCCAGGCTGCAAAAAAAATAATCTCTTATAGAGATGTCAGGGGCGTCCCCAGGATGTGGTTAAGTCCGAACTTTGTTCCTGGGTCAGAAGGATCTTTATTGGCTCATGTAGGAAGACACACATCAGGGGTAATTACCCAGTGTTTTGGGCTCCCGCATGTTCCATAATCATGTAAGATAAACCCAAGATGGAGAAGAATTGAGCTTGGGGTAGAAACTGAGGAAGCTATCCAATAGAAGCACAGGATCAGGTTAGATCCAAAACACAAATCCCATCAGTCAGCATCGATGGTTGCAATTTTGGGGAGAAGCCTCTGTGATAATTATGACATCTCAACTTGCAAGTATTTCGAAAAATAGGAAAGTTTAAGGATGAGTTGTATTTACATTTCCCCCTCAATGGAGTATACTTGGTTTTCCTGCCAGAGAGAAAAGGTTTCAAAATCTGGTTCTAGCTGCAATGAACTAAGTAGCACAATGGAAAATGCTCATTCTATCTCCAAGGACAGTCAATTAGGTTACTTTTTCTACAATCTGTAAACTTTTAGCTATAAGTTCATGAGAAAAAAAGATTTTCTTGGATGTAAAATGGGTCCTAGAGACATCACTGGCGGAATTGATAACTCAAGGTGAGCTGCCCGACTTGCTTGGCAAGGATTTCTCCTGTACTCTTTTTAAGGTAGTTAAGGTCAAAAGATGTTATCATGAACTCTTCTTGTGAATATCTCTAGTCAGCATTTAAGAATTATCCTCAAGTTAGAACAAAAGTAAGAGAAGTCATCTTTATGTTGCTATCAGCCTGTCCCAGCTAAGAGGCAAACATCTAAATCTAGAGGCCCCAGATCCATTTGAATTAGGAAAAAAGGCTTTAAACCAAACAGTTTATATGGAACCTGTTTTGCCTGAAAAAAAAAAAAGTTTCTTAGCTTACCCATATGACTCACTCCATTTTATCCCTGATAGAATGCCTGATAAACCTATCACCATCTTGGTCTGTCTTGACGCTCTCCTGCCACCCCAGAGCTCCTTGAATCTTCCTTAGTATGCTCCGAGGAGTCACAAGAGATCTTTTCTCCTTACTAATGTGGGCAGACATCTGGCTACTCTTTTCAGTTCCAGCAGTGTACGATAGCCTCCTTGGGTGATGGAGGAGATAATTGGATCAATAAAGGGGAAAAAAAATCTTTTGGAAAGTGATGAAGCTATAAAATCTTTATTTTCTGAGTACATTTTAATATGTTAGGTGTTATGTCCGACTTAGAAATATATGTAGTACTTGCAAATTAAATAAGATGAACCCAAATACTTTTTAAGGTTTAGATGACTTGACAAAATCTTAAGCAGTTACAACTTAATAGTGTAGATGTAATAAAAGGCAGCTGTGTCTTCTGATCAACAAACTACCCGTGGCTTTTACTTTATAGAGCTCTTGCTTAACAGGTCCCCTTGTTATAAAAAAAGGTTAGTTAGCTTTAAAAAATTGTTTTAGTAATTATCTATGCAGGACCTAAGAACTGATAACCAACACTAAACAAGGGAAATGACTAAAAAAATATAGAATCTGCTCAGGGAAAAAGGTAAATGGGTGTGGTTTGAACATGGTGAGAAAGTTGTAAAAGGGTTTTGAGAATGACTGGAACTGTGGACGATTTTATGCATGGTCAGGTTGACAAAAATTATTTATAGGTTTTTCTAGAGGGTGGCAAAAGGTATGTTGGTGCAAAGGCTAAAGTACGATTCCCTATAGTTAAATGGCAGAGTTTTCCTGAAGCACTGATGTGTTCTTAGTAGCAAATGGTGAGAGGCTACTCAACTGCCTTCACAACAAAACCAAAAATTGCATATTCTATTACTTCTTGTGCTTTAGGTCCTCCATAAACCTTTTGGGGGACTGAAATTATCAAACAGAAGTGACAGGAACCCTAAAGGACAGTCAGTAGGAAAACAACTCATAGCCTGGTCCAGGGAACTGATCTTGCAAGCACAAGGATAAATATGATCAGGGTTACTGACACTTTCACATCAGCAGGCCATGGTTCTATGGTAGTTTCAGTGCAATTTTGGGAGCTGACTGGTTCAAAAGTGATCCTGGATCACAGATATAAAAGTCATAAGCCTCAGTACCACCCCATAAGACCTAAGCTCCAAATATAGTACTTACTTTGGGTGGAAGCTTGTGCTTGACTGAAAACAGCCCTCTCTGCAGCCTCAGGACCAGCAGGTGCCCTGCCAAAGCCACAGAAGTGATACCCTCGAGGGCTAAGTTCTGCTCTCCAGCCCACAAACTTTCAAATACAGCTACTGTTGCTAAATCCAAGATTCACCTTCAGGGGGATCTCCTTTCCAACACCAGAACTACTTAAGCCTCATCACCACCACATCTTGCCCTGTGAGACCTCGGGACATTATCACCAATGCCCTATACCACCAGGGTCACAAACCCACATGTTCTAGAGGTCTTGTGGGACATACGCTGGTAACATCTCCATAGATCATAACTGTTGGAGCCCAAACCTTGGAGAAGGAACATCTGGGTCTCTGTTCTACACAAGTGGCCAACAGTCCTCAGAAGCAATGACAGGACCTCTCCTAGGTCCTTTGGGGTGACTATTTGTGTTCCAAAATCTTGAATCCAGTTACTGGTGTCACTTATGCTTGCTCTGAGGGAGCTAGGGACAGTCTTTTCTATACCACTGAGATTATTGCAGCTATCACCATAAGTCCAGTACCATCAGGGCTCAATTCTGTGTACCTTTGGAAGTCTATGTCCAGTGCCAATTTTTACAACTACTTTCCTGAACTTCTGCATCAATCTGGATTGATGTCAGCAATGTCTATGTGTACGTCAATCAAAAACAAAGAGGGAGAGGAGGAAAGATGGCAGATTAGAAGAAGGGTATGTTTTATAATTGCTCCATGGCTCAGGAATCAAGCAGAAGTCCATTTTCTCAGCAAGATGGGTAATGAGGAATTCAATGAAATTCAATATCAGACTTAAGGGAACTATAGAGAAGGAAATTTTGGGTACTTTGAACATAGGACAACAAAGAATGCATTGGAGTCTGACCAGAGGCACCAGGTTACCTCAGAGGGTAATAAAGAAGCATGGGAGAACCTGTCGAACAGAAAGACACTCTTAAGAAGGTGGAATTTGAAAGGCCCTCCTTGTTTCTCAGCTGGCAAATGGAGAGCAGAGGTAGGGTGCTACTTGAAGCAGCTTTCTGCTGCAAGAGCCTGGGAGTTCATAACAAGCATTAGCAGACTTTCCCAGGAAGTGCTGCCTTAGGACCTAGAGTGTTCTTGGATGGGCATGATTGACACGTGCAGATAGAATTCTACCCTGGGGCATTCACGTTGGGGAGATGGAAGAAAGTATAATGTGTTTTCCCTTTGGTCTGGAAGCTCATGGATCTCTCGATAACAATGTAAATGGTCATCAAATCTCCATTTAAAATATGTACATTGGCAGAATGGATTAAAAAACAAGACTCTCAACCATATGCTGTCTGCAAGAGACTTAGACTGTAGATGGCTATGCCTATAAGATGCAAATGGAGATCAAATCAAGCAGGAGTAGCTATTCTTATATCGGACAAAGCATATTTGAAGCAAAAATTGACAAGGAAGATTACCTGTATACTTACATTTGGGGAATAAATATTTACT